TATAGGCTTATTGAAAGTTAGACGATTATGGAATGTCACAGCACTTCTTTTCTTTTTTTTTGCCTTACAGAACCCTGCTAAAATCCAGGTTCATATTACAGTTTCATTATCATTTAGAAGGCGACTCGAAAGGCATATCTCTAACTACTTCTTACAGCCACTGCTGTCAGGGTTTACACATGAGCGGAATTTTCAATAAAAGTGAATTAATGGTACTAGATGACCTGTATGCAATTTACAATTGAAATTGAGACACACCTTTGAGCTTATTGATGGACTTCTTGGTGGATAAATAGAGGTGGAGCGATGAAGACCACGAGGTGATGGTCCCAAGAAGATAACTGTCTCCGCTCCGCTGACTTCTGATCCACTTTCGATCTCGCTTCGTGGTACACCAGACGAATGCGAACTCGCTGTGTCTGAGAACATCTGAAAAGTTTTTTTCTGAGATTATTGTTAGGACCCTCTTTCTTTTACATGTACATGTCTTCTCTTAAGGGCATGTGAAACATTTCAAATTTCTATCAAATCTTGCCAGGGTTGAGATTCTTTTTCAAAGCATTTCAGTTCTGATTGTTGTCGCTGGTACCTCAAAGCACTCAGCACGATATTTTCGGGACTTCTTATTCAATAGAAATATTGGAAGAATTGGTGTGAACTATTTCAAAAGTAGCGAGAAAACGCAAAGAAGGGCGGATCCAAAACTGAAAAATACTCAAAAAAAAANTTTTCAAAGCATTTCAGTTCTGATTGTTGTCGCTGGTACCTCAAAGCACTGAGCACGATATTTTCGGGACACCTTGTTCAATAGAAATATTGGAAGAATTGGTGTGAAATATTTCAAAAGTAGCGAGAAAACGCAAAGAAGGGCGGATCCAAAACTGAAAAATACTCAAAAAAAAAAGACTAAAAAAATATGATCGAGCACATCACTACAGGAGTGGCTTGGAATATTAAGAGGGGCTGTCAATTGTATGATATTGGTTAGGGTGAATTGAAATTCCAAAATTTGCCTTCCACTGTCGCCATGGGTCACGGCTACTTCTCGAATTTTCAACATGTGTGCTCCGTTGTGAAGAGAGCATCTTATTAAGGCCGTCATAGAACGACCAATTTTGGGTGTGTGCGCTAGCCAATCCTGTTTTGGAGCCCTTTCTATCCCCTGTGTAGATTGTTTTTTACCCGACAGTGTCCCATGTGCTATCCTTCTGGGCCACAGGTTCATCCTAAGCGGATATCTCAGACATGAATTGTTCTTCAGCAATGGATGTCTTCATTGATTAGCTTCACACCCTTCATCGCTTCGGCGCCTATTTTTTAGAACCGTTACATGTTAGGAAAGCAACGTGAAATACTCCCAAAAGCGATTATTTTTGATACAGCGAGCTGGAAATGTCTAATGCGAAAATTGCTGACCACGGCGATCAAGTAGGAGGTGTCTTCCGGGGTCTTTCGACGGTTCGACGAGCGCGCAATCACATAACTCAGAGACGCGAAATTTATCGGCATTTCGAAGTGATTAATGACTCTGTCACATTGTGAAAAGTTTAACTCGCCGTCGATTCAAATTGTAAAGACGAGGCGCGAAATTCACACAAAAGGTCGTTTTGAACGCATCAGACATTGCACTGGTACACCCTCATGAACACATTCCGAACATTCTTGTCCGCACCAATTGAAACCCATAAATCCGTCAAGTATCGTTCACAAAATCCCACTACCGTATACATAGGATTACTAGTGAAGCCAAACCAAGATCTTCTCTCGAGAACTCTTCTCGATAGAAAAGCTTCATGATGCCATTTTCTTTTTTGGTCTTCTCGTGCGGTGACAGTTCCACAGCTGAGCAGTCAGCGTGGACAACCGCAGCGAATGGAACAGTTCCTACTTTACTTCACGAATCATCACAAGTTTATCAAGGATCAGGCAGCTCCTCCGTGGCTCTCCTAATCAACATCGTTACACCCACATCGTACATTAGTATTGTAGTACTCGCATAAGTTTTGTCACAAGTGATAATTGAGAAGAAAAAACGTGCTTCCTCATTGAGTCTATAATATTCGAGGCGTGGAGGTTGAAGCCAATATTTCTCATTATCTTAGTCTTAATTGTTTTTAGAATCCTTACCCTGACGAAATCTCTTTTTCACTCCACATTTTGTTTTTCATAATATACCAAAAACGTACTTACGAAGGGAGTAAAGGGACATTTATCAAGGACTGGCTTCTCAATGGCTTCTAGATACTGGGTAGTGGTATCCCCTTCTTTAATTCCTCGAATCAGATATTTTTTGCAAACCACTCTATCAGTCTACTTCACTTCCTTTCACCCGTGCTACCTTCCATATCTCCACACATCACATCGTAACCAGTGTGCCAAGGGTCCATTGCTAATGCCAGAAATCCGGTAATAAGTCCTAACAGTCCTAAC